CCAAGCGTTACAGGATATAACTAATATCTTGCCAAATATATCATAATGTGTATTAAAACTATTAAAACTAATATTTTATAAAATAAAGTTTTCGTACAATGATTTTTTGTTTTTTTTTTTATTAAAATTTAATTGGTTAATCAATGTTGATCATCACGTGAAATTAAACCAATAAATGGATTTTTAACTATGCTTTCTCTTTCTTGAACAGAAATAAATTTTTATCTCACTCCGAAACGTAATACTATTTTTATTCGAGCTCCAATATCCCTATAAAAACGTAGCACTATGTCTGAAACTAGTACACCTTATATTCCAGCTTCCACCTCTACTACTGTTGCTGGAAATGAGACGGTCTCGTTGGCAGACGAAATTAAAAAATATGATACGGCCAAGCTTATAGAAACCCTGTTCAGTTCTAGATCAAATTGTTCAGATCAGAAATTTTGCCCCTAAATGATTGGCTAAAAAAACGATCAGTAATCAATCAATCTGATTTATAAAAATTGGTGTTCACCTCTGATGATTTTATTACAACAGACACATCTTTGTGTCTAACTAAAATTTTTGTTGAAGTTATAACCTTTACAATGTCTAACTCAAGAGTCCCTTTCGTTCAATTGTTCCTAAACCACCTTCACAAGAAATTTCACAAGGTCCTTTACAAGACTTTCCATGAAAATCTCCACAAGAACTTCCACAAGAACTTTCGCAAGAACTTTCACTAGCTCTACAAGCGTCACAAAGACTTCCACAAAAACTTTCACGAGAATCTTTACAAAGATATTCGCAAGAACTATTTGTACAAAATCCCGATATCATTGCTGTCGCTTTACCACAGACCTTACCTGAAATTCAGGAAGTAACACCTTTGCTAACTGCAAGAGCTCTTAAAAAGAAGACTGACCGAAAACCAGGGCTTGCTGAAGAAGAAACAGGTTAGGATGATAAAAGTACAGGATTCTTGTTAGGTTTTCTTGAGGATAATTTCGCTGCTTATAAAAAAAACAAGTCCAACTTTGCTAAATCAGCTGCTAATAA